AAAGACAGCACGCAGCCAAGTGGACATGGCTGTGTCTCAATAAAACTTTATTTACAAAAAGAATCACGAAAATAATAAATTTCGGAGCTGAAGCCATGACTGTAATAAAAGCAATTATTAAGAGTAAAAAAAGACTGAACTATTAAAAATATATAATATGCCATCAGAGAAAACTTGTAGACAAATAAGACTATGCCTAAAAGGCAGACTTCCTATTAACTCATTCACACTGATGGACTTAATGGAAACCACATTAACAAGTAAACTAGTATCATCGTTAAGCAATTCTGAGATCAGATACACATAAGATTTCTCAAAACACCACCAAGTAAATAATATCACTACTAATTGAGTAATAACACTACTCTTCATCGTGACAATTTTTGCCTCTAAAACTCTGAATGACTTAAAAGGAAATACCTACTTTGTGCCTAGCTGTATTATAAGCGAACAAAAAAATACCAAGTCAATTAGAAAACCACTCAGTCTTTTAGTCTTGATTCTTCTTTTCCATGAACTGTTAGTGCCCTCCTTTGAAATAAAAGTTACTTCTTTTATACATTGCATGGTTTAAAGTAAGATGATCAAAATGCCCCAAATTGTGTGGAATCCCCCTTTTATTCTTCCAAGGCTTATTTTCAACCAGGCGTGAGAGGACTGACTCAACTCTTTGTGAACAGGGCCGCTGAGAGTTGGGGATCAAGTCCCCCTGAGCCACCTGAGCCACCTGCTCTCTTCCAGATGCCAGTTGAGAGCTCGGCAGAGCAGGCAAAATATTCTGATTCCCCTCCTCCCAGCTCTTCCCACACCAGACAGCATCAAATGTGCTGATGGTAACACGTAATTTACATTCAGAGCAAGTCTAGGCAAATTGGTTGGGTTGGGGAGGTTTTAGAGTGAGTGCACATGGCCCCATCTCTTTTGATCCCAGCTGTGTGGCTGCTGCCACTGACCATGATGCCCCTGTCCGGATCCCATGGTCCTGGGGTACAGTCACTGAGATAGAACTTAGTCCCTGCATCCTTATACTGGTGGGGGGGGGGGTGGCGCTGATAAGGAATGGAGGGGCCCTGCTTCCTGCTTTTATTCACAGGCACTCACCGGCTCAGCTGCCATCAGGCGTGTGCTTGGCGGCCGAGCATCCTGACGCTGCTGTCCTGGCAGATGACAAATAACCTGCTTGGCCAATGAACGCTATTGAAATGGTTGGTAGGGGAGGGAGTTTATTTTAACCTCATAGCCTCCCCAGAACTTGTTCCTTGAAGTCTATGAGTCCACTGAGGACAAGGCCCATTGGAGGAAAGGATGGTGGGAGATAAAACACAGAGTCAAGTCCAAGTAGACTTGGCTGCAGTATGTTAATCTTAAACATCTGCAAGTGGACCTGCTTCAAGGCATTCATCTTGTGATATTTAGGGATTAGGAGCTTTTATTTCTCTAGCTGGTAGAGAATACATAATTTCAGCAAAGATCAGATTGAATAAGGTTGGTCCTGGAGAGGAGCAGAGATACCGCAGTAGAACTTTCTAGTTCCCAAGGCAGAATTTTCCCTCTCTGCTCTCAGTCATGGCTCCTGAAAGCTGAGTATGTCTTTTCTGCAAAGGGACTTCCTGCCAAAGCACACGCAAAATATTTGGGCATGGATTTTCTATTCTGTAACCTATTAAATGCTGTTTACGTACTTGAGGGCAGAGCCAATTATTTATGGAATGGGGCATGACCAAAAGTTCCCAGGAGTAAAGGGGCACATGAGAAGTCCTTCCCCGTAGGACACACTTTTAGTGAGAACGGAATTCATTTACAAGGTAAAATTTTTCTACTTAAGTCCTATAAATCTTAATTTCCCATCTATAATTATAATAGTCACTTACATTTATTGAATGCTTACTGTGTGCCAGGCACTGTTCAAAACCTTTTATGTGCAGTAATCCATTTAATTCTTATAAAAGCTGTGTGAGGCTGGATCTATTATCACGTATAAATTAAAAATAAGACGCATAACCACGTAGCAGGGTTTTGCCAACATCAAAAGAAGACCACAGCCCACGGCCGAGCACCTTTCCTGCCCACTTAATGGTAGGCTTGAAACGCAACTCAGGTTTAAAGGACAGCTCTGGGATGGGATGGCGGGAGATAAAAAAAATACAATACAGACAAGTGAAATTGCCCTGTGGAAGGAAAACACTGATAAAATATGTACTTGGTTAGAAATCAGATCTGTATTCTCTAGACAGAATGAAGCGGCACGTGTGAGGAAGGCAGGCAGGCGTCTCCTACACCCGCCCCAGTCCCAGGCCCAGCCTCTAGACGCAGCCCTCACCTAATGCCACTGAGCAGATCCTGGAAACTGCAACTTCAGGCAAAACAAATAGAAGAAAGCACATCTTCCAAGGACCTTGTGTTCAGCACCAGCCAGGACTTCTTGCTTGTTTTTTATCAACATTGGAATGAAAGAATGTTGTTAGGGGATCCGCTATATGTCAATTACTGCTTCTCCTCTGCTTCCTTCTTGTATTCATTCCTTCACTCAACAGCTATGACGCACCGGCACTGCCAACCCTTAGATACCTACACCTAAGCTGTAGGTGTCCGTGGTGCACATCGCACTCCTTGTGCTCGTAGAGCTGATGAATGTTATGAAAGACCGACACTAGTCAACTTGACCGTGAACACGTTTCAAAGAGCGGTTGAGGAATACGGCTTGGGGAGCATTGGAAGAAGTGGGGTTTGAACTGGGCAAGGCAGAAAATCAGGAGCGGGGAGGGGGCAAATGGACATGAGCTGCACAGGTTACGGTTACTGACAACCTTCACATGTTCGTGCATTTAAAGGGGAAGCCAAACTGGAGTGTCTAAGAGCATGTGAGCGGAAGGGTAAGAAGAGAATACAGTAAAGGGGGTGAAAAAAGCATTTTCAAAAAGCTTGGTAGTAAGGAGAGGACAATGTTAGTTGGAGGGGACCGGCCAGGGGAAAAAACAGAGACGGGAAGCAGCTTAGCTTTCTGTTGTCTACACCCCTACTCTGCCTGTAATGCAATAATACATGGTCAAGACAGTAGACCGGAGTGAGTGATATCTGGGGAGAAACCAGGATTGCACTCATACAGGAAAATTCACTTGGTAAAATTTAATATATGCAGACTGATCCAAGTCCTATTATTAAAAAATCATTCTTGGGATAAAGCACTAGTCTTATGAATATATTGTCTCTTTCATTTACAGTGGAATTATACCTGTGACTCAACCAAAAATATAATTTTTAAATAATATTTTCCAGACACCCTGAACTAGCTTTGCATAATTAAGCTAAACGTATATTGCTTCCAATGTACTATCTCTTAATATCCTGCTATAGGAACAAATCTGCCTGCTAATGAGGTGTGCCTGCATTCCTCTTTAGTGGGATATATAGAACCACAGCATTTCACTGGCTGATTAAATTAAATATTTAGGGAGAAAATTAACTCTTTCAAGCCATTTGCAGATTAGCGCTACCCTGGAGTCATTATTGCTCCTCAACAAATGGCTGAATAAAACAGGCATCTGCAGCGTTGTAAAATACCATGAGGATAATTAAAGGGTGACATTTATAGATTAATATTCCCCAAGAAGTCCTTTTTACCAGCAACACAGTTTTGGCTGCATCTGTTTTCACGATCAACAAGTACCTCTCACATTCATATTAATTGCAGAAGGCTCATTGCTACTATTTTATGGTAAGTAAAGCTTACTCTGCCCTGTGGCTAAAAAGACGCCTCTAATACTTAAAAAATGCACCAGTGACCACGTCCCCACAACTCCATCTCACGGAGGGCATGTCATCTTCGCAAAGCCATGAGGAATCTGAGTGCAAGTGTTAAATAGATTAATTCACAGAAATTTATTCAAGTCTCTGTAGTATTTCTCTGCTCCTGTCTCTCTTGACATCCCCACACACACACACTCCTACTATCTATTTTTCTACAAAAAGATTCCTTAGGAAACACCATGTCTGGTAAATTCCCCGGGAATCACTGTGGCTCAGACCTAGAAACCACATTCTCAGAAAATGGAAGGAAGGGAACCTGCACTGTTCTGCCAGACCCACCACCAGAAACAGACTAAAAGGGATTCAACTTCGCCAGCCTGGATGCTAATGCTCTTCCCTGAAAACTGAGCAGAAGCAAAATGCCCGGGTTATTTTGGAGACACCAGATTAGAATACTCGGAACAAGCTGCTGCATCAGACAGGCAGCTTAAAACCCTGTTTGCAAGGCAGCGCCCACCCGCCTCTTTTCTGTCCAAAGTGAGACTCGGCTTTAGCTGGGAGATGCGCGCCCGTCCGCGGGAAGGGACAGGGATGGTGTCGCTCTCCCATCACCGGGGACGCCGCTGCCTGGGGGCTGGACCGCGGAGCGCAGGGTCACCCGCGCAGGACTGACCTGGGCACGGCCACTGTCTGCCAACCTGTCCTGGGCACAGTCCCTTGGAGGCTCCCGAGGAGGAGAGAGTCCAGACCCGGGTCCGAGGCAGTTGGTCCTCCCGGCGCGAAGGTCAGTGAGGCCACCTGGGGGGCGCCCCGCGGAGCGGAGGCGCGAACGCGGCACCCTCGCCAGGTTTCGGGGCGCTCGGCCCCCTCCGCCCGGCGCCCGCAGAGGAGAGACGGGGCCAGGGGCGGGGCAGGAGGTGGGCAGACCGCTCCCCCCACCGCTGCTACCTGCCGCAGCTGAAGCGCAGCCACCGGCTCCAGCCGAGTCCGCGCAGCGGCTGCGGCTCCGCCTCCCGCCGGACACCTGCGGCCGCCGGCACCTGCGGCGGACAGGGCCCCTCTTCGGACTGGGGAGCCCTTGGGCAGCCCAGCGCCGGGGTCCCATGGCCGGGACCTGTCGGCGCCGCGCTGGGACGCCCCGGCCCCTGGTCGCGGCGCTCGCCTGCCTGATCCTGAGCTGCCGGGGGCTGCAGGGACAGGGACCCTCGCCGGGCGCCGCGCCGCGCCGCGCGCTCTGCCCGCCCGCCCGGGGCGCACCCGGCGGCCGCAGCCCCGACGGCCCCGGCGTCCTGGTCGCCAACCCCGGGCTCCGGGTGCCGGCGGGCCGCGCGCTCTGGCTCGACCCGCGCCGCGACCTGGTGATTCGCGTGCGGCCGGGGGACCGCTGCGAGGTGCGGGTGCTGGACCCCCCGCCGCCGCGCCCGGGCGCGCTCGCCCCGCGCCGCTTCCCCTGCGCCTTCGGGCCCCGGCAGGTGCGCTACACGCACTTCGGCTCCCGCGGCCCGCGGCGCGCCCGGGTGCGGCTGCAGCTGCGCTACGACGCCCCGACTTGCACGCTGGCGCTGCCCTTCGCGCTGGCCGTGGCCGTGGACTTCTCCCCGCCGGCGCTGGTGGCGCGCAACAGGCCTCTGCGGGTGGACGGGCCGCGGGGCCGGAGCCGCGCCATCGACGGCGGGGTGCTGCGCTTCGCCTCCCCGGACGCCGGGGTCCCGGCCCCCCGCAGGTGCCGCCTCACGCCCCTCCCGCCCGAGGCCGGCCCGCTGCCCAGGTATGGGCGTTTGGTGGACGCCGCGGGAGCCCCGCTCCCCAGGGGCCGGAGCATGGACTGCCAGGCGTTCCTCCGGGCTGGGGTGCGCTACCAGCACACGGCCGCCGCCCCCTCGCCCGCCCTGGACTATGTGCCGCTGGTGGCGGAGCTGCTGGGCCCGCTGGACCAAGGCGCTGGGCCCATGGAGGCGCCGCTCCGCGAGCACTTTCAGCTGCAGGTGAGGATCCGCCAGGGATCCCAGAACACGGCGCCCAGGCCAAGCGCCGGGGCCCAGATGACCATGGAAGTGGATCAGCTCCAGCTGACAGCCTTGACGCCCGAGGCCCTGGCTGCCGAGGACCTGGAGTCAGACCCTGACGACCTGGTCTTCCACCTTCTCAGCGGCCCCACCGCCACGCCCGCGCACCCGGGTGTCCAGGGCTGCCTGGTCAGCACCGACGACCCCCTGGGCCTTCCAGTGTCCTTCTTCACCCAGAGGGAGCTGCGGGAACTGAAGATCGCCTATCAGCCCCCCACAGAGACGCTGCATGGGGAGCGCCTCTTCCAGCTGGACCTGCAGGTGGTGGACGAAGATGGTGCCAGCTCTGCCCCCTTTGCCTTTGTGGTGGTGGTGAAGGCCGTGGACGCCATGGCCCCGAGAGCTACCTATGCTGGGGGACTGGTGCTTTTTGAAGGTCAGTCAAGGCCGCTGTCCAGTCAGGGCGGCCTCCACATCAGTGATAAAGATAACCTGGAAGAGGTGGAAGTGACAGTGGTCGGAGGCTTGAGGCACGGGCAGCTGGTGGTGCTGGGGGCGCCCCGGGCATGCAGACACTTCACCCCCGCGGACCTGGCTGCAGGGCGGGTGCTGTACCGCCATGACGGCAGCGACACCTCCAGTGACAACATCGTCTTCAGGATGGAGGACGGGCAGCACCAGGTGGACTTCCTCTTCCCGCTCAGCATCATCCCTGTGGATGACCAGCCACCAACTGTCGATGCCAACACCGGGCTCTCAGTGACGGAAGGGCAGGTGGTCCGCATCACCCCCTTCGTGCTGAGTGCCACGGATGTGGACTCCGAGGACTCGACCATCCACTTTGTGCTGGAGGAGCTGCCACCAGAGCAAAGGGGCGAAGAAAGGGGGCGGCATCTGACCCCTGGTTCCACCCACTCAAGTCCGCCTCTGGGGGAGATGCTGCTGAGGCAGGCTGAGCCACCTCTGTTCCCCGAAGACTGGGATTTTGTGGAAAAAGATGGAATTTATGAGAAAGTAGTGACGGAGTGGCTTCAGCAAGATATTATAAGAGGGAGACTCTTCTTCCGCCATCTGGGGCCCCACAGCTCTCAGTCTGTAACGGCCCAGCTGGCTTTCCGGGTGCATGATGACCATGACCCGCCTAATCTGTCCAACCGGCACTTTTTCCCCATCAAGGTCCAACCCTTGGATCTGCAGAGGCCAGAGCTGTTTCCAGGAACTAGCCTAGAAATGACCGTGCAGCAATACCAGCTCACTCACTTCCGGAAGGAGTCCCTCCAGTACACTGACCAGGACTCGGACAACCGGAGCCTCCGCTACACCCTACTCACACGCCCAATGGACACCGATGGCAACTGCCAAGTCCAGGCTGGAGAAATTGTGTTCACCGATTCACCAGACATGCCCATTTTGCACTTCACCCAGGCCCAGGTCAATCACCTCAAAGTGGCCTACCAGCCCCCCAAGAAGCTGGGTATTGTACCCCGGGTTGTGCAGTTCACCTACGAGGTGGAGGATGCTGCAGGCAATAGTGTGCCAGGGACGTTCACATTGTTCCTGAAGCCCATGGACAACCAGCCCCCAGAAGTCACCAACAGAGGCTTCACTGTCGTAGAGGGAGGAAGCTTTACCCTCAGCAGCAATGAGCTGGCCGTCACAGACCCCGACACAGACACTGACCAAATTGTCTTCGTGTTACTTTGGGGGCCCCAGCATGGACACTTGCAGTACTTGGGAAAGAGCATGGTCCCAGGGGACTCTTTCAGGCAAGCTGATATTGCCAATGGGAGTGTCTCTTACCAGCACCGCGGAGAGCAGGCTGCCAGTGACACCTTGCATCTGGAGGTGAGTGATGGGGTGCACCAAGTCCCCGTCACTGTCCAGATTGCTGTGCACCCCATGGTGAATGACAGAAGCCCCAGGATCTCTATCACAGGGAGCCCGTTGTTACACGTTTCCGTGGATGTGTTGGAGAACAGAGCCACGGAGATCACCATGGGCACCATCCATGACAAAAAGAAGGGCACAGGGCACTTGATGTTATCTTTCATTGTGGAGGATGCCCCCAAACTGGGCATCCTTCTGGTCAACGGTGTACCCACAGAACGATTCACCCAGGAGGACCTCATCAGCGGGGCCGTCATCTATGCTCACACCGGGGGTGAGCTTGGCCTACAGCAGCAGCGTGATGCCTTCAGCCTCGTGCTCTCCAAGAATTCTTATCAGTGGGTTGTGGGGGACAGTATAGTAGAGAGAGTGCAGGTCCAGGTGGTTGTACTGCCTGTGGACAATGCGGCCCCCAAGGTCTTGGTGGGGGAATCCTATGTTGTTAAGGAAGGTGGAAAGAACCCCCTGACCTTCCAACATCTCAGCATTGAAGACATAGACACCCCCCAAGATGAGATCCTGTGCACGGTGACTAGTCAGCCAGCCTCCGGTTACCTGGAAAACATCGCGCCAGCTCCTGGCTCAGAGGTGTCCCGGGCTGGCAGCCCCATCAGTGCCTTTGCTGTTAGAGATATCCGGATGAGGCACATCAACTATGTGCAGAGTCTCCACAAGCGGGTGGAGCCACAAGAAGACCAATTCACCTTTCATTGCTCCGATGGCATCAACTCCTCCCCCTGTGTCTTCTTCCCTATAGTCGTCCTGCCCACCAATGATGAGCAGCCTGAGCTTTTTGCCCGTGAGTTTGTGGTCTTGGAGGGGCTGAGCCTGGTCATCGACACCCCACTGCTCGATGCAGCAGATGCTGACTTACCACCAGATGACCTGTGCTTTCAGCTCACAGCCCTGCCCCGGCACGGCCGGATCCTGCAGCAGCTGGCCACTGGCAGCCGGCCCGTGCACAGGTTCTCCTTACGGGAGATCCAGGAGGCCTCCACCATCGTGTATGAGCACGACGATTCTGAGACCACAGAGGACAGTTTCGAGGTCTGGCTGAGTGACGGCAAGCACGCTGCCCACAGGACAGTCCCCATCGTGGTGATCCTGGTGGATGATGAGACACCCCGGCTGAGCATCAATGATGCGCTGGAAGTCAAGGCTGGCCACACTGAGGTCATCACCAATCAGGTCCTCAAGGCCACGGATCTTGACTCTGATGATAAGAGCCTCAGTTTTGTCCTCCGTTTTGGGCCTCAACACGGGCTTTTGCAGCGACTGAGAAAACCCGGCGGGGCGGTAAGGAACAACTTCACGTCAGGGATGAACTTCACCCAGGATGAGATAGACAGAGGCCTCATCTGTTACACCCACGTGGGCCAAGCAGGAGTTCCTGACCTTATCAAGTTCGACGTGACCGATGGCATTAACCCTTTGATTGACCAAGATTTCCACATCAGCATTGGCAGTGTCGATCGAGACTCCCGTGGGCTGGCCAGCCAAAGGGTCACCTTGACAAAAGGTGGCAGAGTGGCCCTCACCACTGATCACCTTGGTACCAGTGACATCAACAGTCTTGATGAACAGCTTCACTTTACATTAACTCAGGCTCCACGCCTGGGGCACCTGGAGAGTTTGCAGCACCCTGGGGAGCCCATTGCAACCTCCACTCAGCTGCCATTGGCTGACAACAAAATAGTCTACACCCACACTTCAAACGATGAGATAAAAATGGACAGCTTTGAATTGCAAGTGACCGATGGACACAGCACCGTGTCCCGAGCCTTCAAGATCTTCATCACAGATGGAGATAGAAAGAAACCTCTCTTGACCACCCATAAACTCAACCTGCAAAAGGGGGAAAGCAAACTGATCACCCCCTTTGAGTTGACGGTCGAAGACAAGGACACCCCAGATGATCGCCTCCTCTTTACCATTGCCCAGGCCCCCACGCATGGCAGGGTGCTGTATAATGGAAGCCATCCTGTGGCCACCTTCACCAAGCAGGACCTGAATGAGAACCTGATCAGCTACTGGCACGACGGCAGTGAGACGACAGAGGACAGTTTCTCCTTGACCGTGACAGATGACCCCCAGGCTGCCCCCCATGTCTTCCCAGACGTTGCCCAGGGGACACACGAACCTCAGGTAATGAGGATCGACATCAGCTCAGGAAACAGGAGGCTCCCCAAGATGACCATTAATAAGGGGGCCCAAGTCTTAAAGCGCCTAAACACTGGGCACATGGGCTGTCTGATTACCAGCAAGTCTCTGAAGGCAGAGAACCAGGACAGTCCCCAGAGGCTCCTGAAGTACCAAGTGAGCAGAGCACCAGTGCACGGCTTCATTGTCAATACTGGCCTTGGAAACGAAAGCACAGGGGTGTTCACACAGGGTGAGTACCCGTGACCTGATGCCTCTGTCCCCTCCCCCTCAGCACATCATATCAGTCACTTGTGTGCAGACTGTCCTGACCTCAGTCCATTTACGGAAAGATTCTGATGCTGATGAAACACAGTGGGACTTGCAATTATTCTCATAGCAAAAAAGGCAGCAAGTCCTATTTCAGCAGTTTCATCAGAATGCCCACTTCATGGAAATCCACAAACATTTACTAAAACTTGTAGTTGTACCTTAAAACACAATGGGACAGTTTCTGCTTCTGAAATATAAGATCAGGTTATATTAGTTTGTATCTGTTTAATTTTGAACAGCAGGTATGACATCTCTAGGAATCATTTGCACACTTGATCAGGAAGTCTAAATTTCTGAAAATGTTGCTTGGTATTTAGATTTGGGATGTAGCAGTGGCAAGGCATATTTTAATGCACCACTCGAATGTAATTACTGCATCATAAAAAAGGCAGAAAACTGAGTTTGCCTACGTGAGTGGAGGGATGTATTATAAAGAGCATCTTTCCTCCATATTTGTTTCTCTACTGATGATGAGCTAGAGGCAGATCCCTCTGCTTTCCCAGGTGAAGTGACACCTGGTGTCTTTGGCTGCTCTTTCCATTGTCTTAAAATTCATTTAGGTAGCTCCATGAATGAGATGTGCAGAGATGCCTGAGCTTTCCACATCTGATATGTATAAACCTGGATACGACCTTAGAGTAAAACTGATGGGGGAGGGGGGCAGTCTTTAAAAAATAGCTTACTACACTTCAGAATTGCTTCTAAAGCAAATGAAATCATGTATGCTTCTATGAGAATTATTTGGATAAATAACCCTAGAATGCAAGTTGTCTTTAAAATACCAATATGAAGACACAAATAGACCCAAATGGCAAATTCTTAAAAACCTAAGCAATTAGGCAATAGAATAAAAATGATGTTATTCTCATTTTCTCATGAATGCTACAGTTATTCTTGTTTAAATTTATTTTGACAAATAGTGAACATGCACTATTACACCAAGTTCAATGCTGGTCCAGAAGCCCTAAAACCAGATGGACTCAGCTGTTGGTAGAGACAGAGCTGCTGAAAATAAACACAGTGATAATGTCCAACAGGCTGGCATGGTCCCGAGATCATGCACAGAACAACACAGTAATGCAATTTAAGCTAAGTTCTCTCTTGGCCATTGAAACCCTAAGAAGTTAGAGTTGTGTGTGCTTAGCCATTGCTTTAAGAGGTATTTACTGCAGTAAATTGTCTATCTACTGAAGCACTGTCCATCATGCCAATACGACTTGTGTGGTATTTTCTCTTTTATTAGCTGATGTTGATGAGATGAGAATCCTCTACGTCTTGAAAGAGGGCAGCAATGCAACAAAGGACACCTTCTACTTCTCCGTGGAAGACGGCGGTAGGTCGATATTGCAGCCTTAATAGGGAGACCTGGTTAATTCAAATCAACATAAAATTGAAAAAAATTAAATCATGCATTGAGTGGTCACCATCAACGTTGTCATAATACAGACAAATGAACCCTCTTTCTGTCCACGTGCATCTGTGCATCCGTATGTGCTTGTGCATGTGTGTGTCTGTGTGTGTGTGTGTGTGTGTGTGTGTGTTCCTATGCTGATGATTCTTGCTAAATCACTGGTTAGGAAGGGGATGCAATGAGGAATTGCAGTCGTGAGGCGGGGAGTATTTTACCTGACCTGGATTTTGTGTGATATCCTATTGGCAAGAAAATTTTCTCTTCGGGAGGTTTTGAGAATCTAACAGGGACTTCTTTCTGAAGCGATGAGAACATTTTAAATTTTGTTCAGACTTTCAGTTCCAGTGCTTCCCTGATTTGGGAAGTGCAGCCTTGCTGGATGAGGTAGAAAGGATATTGGCAGGCAGAAAGGAAAACTGGCTTGAAAAAAAAAAAATGCCTGTTTGGCTGCACTATGTCTGGGCGCTGTATCTTCAGAGTAACATGATGGACAGCAACTAGTTAAGGCATTTTCTTTACACAGCTAGGGATATGCTGATTATGTGGCAAAGAAAAACCATCTTACAGCTTGACAGGATGATTGCAGAAATTATACCCACGTGCGGCTCGCCACCCAAGAACCCCCCCCTTAGTCCAAGTCGTTGCTCATTCCCAGCGAGCAGCATGAGTTTTCTGCTAAATCATGTATAATCAGTCAGGCCTGTATCTAGTAGGAAGCAGTCTTCCATGAGAAACCCTTCGGGGTACTGAGCTGGAGTCCCAACTCGCCCCTTTGACCTTAAAAGCAAGTCGCCTGTCCTCTGTGTGATTCATTGCCCCATCTCCAAGATGGTGCTCTTCGGTCATCTTTTCAGAGTGTTAAGCGAAACAATTTGCACACATCACCGGGCACAAAGCAGGTGTTCATTAACAGTAAGTTAACTCCTTTCTGATGAAACTACAGTGGAGACCACTGCTCTCTCCTTTCCATCTTCTCAAAGTTTAAAAACAGGCCTTCCTTCTCTTAAGTCCTCAAGAATCAAAGTTACTAAAAAAGATGAAGATAAATTTAAACCTGTAAAGCTGATTCTCCAAAGTAAAGCAGAGATCCTAGTAGCCCATGTCAGATGCAGAGATCCTAGTGGCCATTTTCCCTTCTGCTCCTGAGGAGGCTGGTCCGCTGTAAACATCTGTGTGGGCGCTGCTTTCTGGGCAACATCAGAAGCAGGAGTTAGTCTGCGATGATAAGTCATGCAAATGTTGTGCTGTTACTATTTTTAAGTTGCTTTTTATGGGCCAGGCAGTGTTTACATAAATTATGGCTTAAATTCTCACTGTAGAAAAAGAGGCAAATGTTATATGATTTTAAAATGAAGACTGAGTTTGGATAACATGCGTGAAGTCAATACAGGTAGCAAACAGGTGGTCTCGCAGATTCCAAAGCCCAGGCACTGCCTATGTGTTGGGAACCGTGGTCAGAAGCACAAACAGGGCGAAGACTGTACTTCCAAACTAATAGAGAAGCACCTTGTCAGTCCAGTGACAAGACTGATCAGACTCCACATGGGAGAACATATTTGTTTACAGTGGATCTTAAAGCCTATATTCATGTCCATAATCCAATTAAATATTTCTGCATTCATTCCATGGGTTTTGTCGTTGTTGTTGCCTGTCTGAGTATCTTGCACAGAGCTGAGGCCTACGTCTGCCCCTTGTGAGCCTTCTTGGAATAGTTTACAACTTTCGATGCTTTTGTATCTGATATTCTCAAGTCTTCTGAGTCTATCTCTTAGGGGTAGCCAGCTTACTCTTTTTCTTTTAAAATAGGCCTACTTATAAAATACTTCCCAAATAGGATGTTGAATGAAATTTACCACTTGATCTGTTAATCATTTTTTTCCTGATAACACAGAGCTCTTACAGACATTTAAGCCATGTGGGATGGATGCACTGCTAGGGAGACATTGGTCACCACTGGTTTGAAGTAGAATTTTGCCGTTGATTGTGGTGGAGCCACCATGAGAGTCAGTGAGTGAGGAGTTTGATGAGGAGTTTGCTTTTCCCCAGGACTGTGCACGAGGCGTGTGCTGCCTGATATTTTCACCCCTGACTCAGAGAGCCCATATCAGGCATCTATTGTTCTTATTTCCCAAACAATCTATTTTAAAAAAAGTAGTAAGAAGAGGGTAGGAGTTAAAAGCAAAGCGTTATAGAATGCAAAGGAGATAGCTAAAACTGAGCAGATAAAGAATTCAAATTCCTGAGACTCTAGGAGACAGTGTAGTGATGGGACAAAATGCTCAGGATCTCTCTAGAAGCATAACTGCAGCGAGACTACAAAACAATTTGCAAACTTCAAGACGATGTCATAATAAATGTAAATGTGCTATTAGGGAAGGGAGGTCACATTGTAGTGTCAGGTGAAGAAAGTTAAGTAGAAATCAGTATGTAAAGATGCAGAGGATGGTTACATTTCCTACATACCCACGATGTTAAAAATGGCTTATAATGACAATGATGATAAGTTGCTTTTTTCTCCACATTTTCTTGTGTAAATGCTCTCTAATGACCACTGTTATTATCAGTAAAAAGCAATTTCCATTTTAGACTAAAAGAGCCCTTAAATACATCAGGACCAACTTGGTTCAATAACATTGACTCAAATGGCGAACGTTGTTATTCTGGCTCATAAGTAATTCACAATTGTCCCGCCTACTAATGTAATGGGTGAAAAAATCCAAACAAGGAGGAATCAGGTCAGATCCTTCTCAGGAAGGAAGAAATTAGCAGCTATACCTGTTGTGATTCTTTCCCTCAGGAGTCCTCCCTACCTCAGTACCTTTTATTCCTTCATAAATGGTGACCAAAAGGAAGTGTGAGATCCGGGGGACACTCCAGCAAAGCAGGTCCAGAAGCATCAGTGTCAACAGCTGGAGGGAAGGGACTGGGTGCCGTCCCACTGGTGCTCCCAGGCACCCATGGGTGGGAGGAGTTGAGTGCTGCGCAGTGCAGGAAGCAGCCGCAGAGAGCTCCGGTCACTGAGCTGGGCCGAACCAGACCTTGTCTCCTGCCCTCTCCTTTGAAGAGAGTCCAGGTAGCTTCCCTTGCATCATGTCATCTGTGATTTAAATTTTGGGGCCTCCCTGGTGGTGCAAGGGGTTAAGTACAGCACTGTGAAGCTGTCTGCTGCAGCAAGAATTTGATCCCCAAGCATTGTCACTTGGGAAAATGGTAAAACTTTGGCATGTACAGAAATGCAGAAACGGTAGCCAGGGAGCTACCCAGATGGCGCAGCAGACCTCTCCTGTCTCCCTGCTGATCCCCTCAGCAGTGTATTTCAGTACATCTGCCTATTCTGCTCCCCACTCTGTCTCTGGTGAATCTTCTCACCCCCCTACCTGCACCTCTGGCCTGTACCCCAGTTCCTGTATGCATAAATAAATAAATCTTTAAAAATAAATAAGTAAATCCATTTTTTTCACCTTTTTTTTTTTTCCTGAAACCACTGATTCCTTACAGAAAGCGTACTTCTTTTTTTCCATTTGGGGACCTTACATGCTGTCCTGAGTCCTCCCCCCACTACCCCGATTCCATATTTTTGTGATGGGGGCCAAGGCCTGGAGTTCTCTTGTTGCTGCCAGCAATTCTTTACTACCAATTAGTTCTTTTATAAAAGGCCTCACCTTTTCACAAAATCCAGGACCAATTCACGTTTTGGAGAGGATTCAATGAATGGAAGTATAGTAAGAATATTGAAAACTACCTTAATGCATAGGTTAAAGCCGTGGTTTTGGCATTATGAGTTATAATTCCAAAGGAAAGCTTGCAGTCTAAAAATCACCCTGAAAATACCTGAATGTATAGGTATTTTAACATAAATAGTATAAAATTGTTTAAATGGCCCATAATTCCTCCACCAGGTAACTGCTAAAAACATTTTTTAAATAAATGCATGTCCATAGTGAAAAAGTGGTAATAATTAAACTGTACAGTGATAACTTTTTCCTTCCCCAAAAGATAAATTGATCCTTATGTTTCCTTACAAAAAGAAAATGACTCACATTACAAAATATATATGACATCTCCTCGACATTCATAGCATATATGAATATCCTTTTGCTTTACACACAGACTTTCTGGTTTATGCCTGGCTCTGAACCTTGCCTGCTCTTACTTAAAATATACATGTATGTGATATCCCATGTTATATATAATATTTTGAACTCCCCCAAGTAGTTCAGTCATTTTCTTTTGAACAACTATATGGCATTTCATTGTGTGGCCATATTTGAGCTCAATTACCTGGTTTATCTAGTAAAAGACATTTTTTCTCTTTCATTTTTGATTCTGTTATAAACTTGATCCTGGCCTATACTGGACTATGAATGCAGACTTCTGAGCAGTGGAAATGCTAATTTAAAAGGATATTGGAATGTCTAAAAATTCCCAGCATTTTTCCTAAATGTCATAATTATTTCAGACATAGAAGCCTTTTTCATGCAAGGAAGCCAAGACAGACAGACAGGTAGCTGAGGCAGAAAATGTGAAAACAAAATTTTAAAATATGAGCAAAGGGAAAAAAAAAAGAAGCAAAGACTGTTTTGCTGGTGGATGCTCCAAGAATCACCCTGCATCATGTGCTTAGTTGGTTCCTGCTTCCTCAGCTCTGCCAGGGCTGATTCTGGAGGGGTCTCTACCTGCTGTGTTTCCGAGGTCTGCCTTGCTGAATTTGTTGGCTTAGAGCCTGCAATTTAGAATGCGGTCTACAGGCACAGTGAGCTGCTCCAAAGTGGCGTCTCCCCTGAGAACAGGTTAAAGCAAGTTTTGCTAATTTCTAGCTCACTGGTCAGTGGGACGATGACTAGTGAGCTAAAAATCAGCAAGGGCACCCCTGTGCACTGGGTCACAGCTGGATGTAGCCCCATCTCATAAAATATCTCACT